AGATTGTGTCCTTGAGATGCATTTGTTCTCAAATCGCTTCTAAAAAGGTTGGCATTTTTTATTCTGATAAGGCATTATCTGGCATATTGAGTAGAAATACATCTTAGCTGCCAAAAGATGGCACTGTTGAAGTGTTGTAATATTTTAAAATTGCCCTAAAAAATATGTAAGCTTTTTACTTTAATACTGAAAATACTGAAAATAGTTGGGTGATTAACATAATTAATACTGATCCTTCCAATGGCATGCAACACAAACCCAAGCACGGGACGAGTAGGCTGGACATGCAGGTGGTAGCTATAGTGTGAAATATATGTATTTTTCTGCCCATTTTTACAAGGGTGTTTGAAACACCAAGACTTTTAGAATGAAAAAGTCAGCCCCTCATGTCTAATTTTCTGTAAGTGGGAAAAATCCTCTTTTTAGGTTCTGGCTAACTACATTTTAGTGGCATAAAAGAGTTTTCTGGACTTAGAATTCTGGCTCTAGCATGGTCTTTTTTCCCTGAGATATTAAACAATAATACTGTTCTGTTTTCCCTAATTTAGTAAATCTTGAGAAATAAACAAAAAAAAAGCTTTAAATTAATGTGTTTCTTTTAAAAGTCTTATCTGTTACTCTTGTAATACAGGGGGTTAGGATAGATTAATCCATCTTTTGTACCTCTCACCTCCACAGTACAATATCTGCCATTGAACTTGTACCCAGAGACACACCCTGCAAAAACACAATGTATTGCTAATACTTTGGGGGGTTATTTGTTTATCTGTTTGGCTTTATTGTTGTAAAACCTCATTTAGAATGAGGAGGAGAGCAATCTGCACCTGTTAACTTGTTTCACAGAACTTCCTGAATGGGATGGACATCAGCCCCCCTTTTTGTTTGGATTACAGATGGGTCTTCTGCTGAAGTGCTGGAAAGATTTAAAGGTGAATTTGGTGGCTATAAATTGATAATGGGAGGAGTTCAAAGCAAGTGTGGAGAAGCATCAGGAAGTTTTTGCAGAATGATGTGCCAGTGAATCTCACTCTTATCGTGCAGGTTTCCAGCTATTGTAATTCCAAACTGTTGATTAGAAAATGTCATTAAAATTTCAGACTCTTTGCTATCACTAAAGCCTAAGTTGCGATATGCTGGTCTGTACTAAAGTTGTGTTCAGCACCCCAGAAAACAGTTGACTAAATCAAAAATGGTTGTAGGGAAAGGTGAACAAGTCAGGAGGTTCCAGGAAAAGTTTCCAGTGCTTTTAATGTGTGTTCTCATGTTTCTCCATATGAAGCTTGAAACCTTGCAGTACTAGTGCCTGTAAACATGTAAAATTCATTACAGTAAATATGCGTACCTGAAATAAAATGATGAAGTTAAGTATCATCTATATTTAAGCTGAAAGTTTTAGTTATTTAATGAACATGAATGACATCTGTACTAGTAAGAGAAAAATAACTGCAGATTAACTACCTTTAGCTAATGTGTTTTACTTTTAAACAAGGTATTATAATAGGAGGAAAGTGAAAAAGTACTTCAGGGTCATTTGCCCTGGCATCTTTTTTAATCATGCTAGATTTGAAACCTGGTTTTGGAAGTTACAAAGTACCCTATAGCAGGTACTAAATTTCTTAAACTAAGAATTGCGCTTTAAGTAAGGATTTGGGGCATAATCAAGATTCCCAGTGAAAGAGGAATCTTACATCCTTAGATGGTGGAGTTATAGTAGCAGTGGTGGGTTCTGTTTCATGTCCAGCCTATCCCTTGGATGCGCTTGTTTCTCTCCACTGATTAGAGAGGAAGGCTGGTTCCTTAAATTTATTTGGACAAATTCCCTTATGACTGAATTCTCTGTCATGCTGATGAGGAGAGGACCAAACTCCCTGAATCTGCTCGCCCAGTGGAGTCTCACTCTGTGACTTTCAGCCTGGCACTTCTTCACTTTGAACTTTGCAGCTCAGTGCAGGTTTATCAAAAGCTAAGTATGGCTTCATCAGGGCTGACTTTGAGCACAGGCACTGAAACAAGTGTTGCTGGACTTGACAAGATGGATAGATACATTGATTAACCTTGCAGTGGAAAGTAATTCTCCTCAGATATTTTAGTTCACGATTTAGGTTCAGAATAAAGACACCTGCAGTGAGCAGGCCAACCTTTTTGGGTCATGTGCCAGTGCAGATTCACCAGATGAGGAGGCTTAGACAAGTTTTGATGTGAGATTTTCAAGCTTGCATTCAGAGGCCTGTGCTGCTCTGGTGGACTCAGTTGTAGGAGCATGGTGCCTTTGAAAATTGCTTTCATATGGCTATATGTTACTTTCTGTATGGTAAGTAAAGGACACTTACCAAGTCTCCAGGCTTTTAACCCTGTAAGCAGTAGCTTCAACTACTTATATATATGGTAAAAGTATTTTCTCACTTGTCTAAATGCTTATATAGTTACCTGCCTTATAGGTAGGAAAGGAGTGCCATTATCTGCTTCTGTGAGTAAAATTATCAGTTGTGCTAAAAGTATATCTTGATTGTCTGGTCAGAACATTTTCAGGCATTTCTAGATACCCTCTCATGGCTTGGCACTGCTGCACACATGGAAAAGGTGTAGCTGGAGGGGAAAATTTTGTCAAAAATGAGTTATCTAACTGGATTCTGATAATAATAAGATCAGCTTAACTTTATGAGAGCCCATTTAGACTTCAGCCCTGTTCTCTTTGAGTTCTAATGTGAAAACCAGAAAGTAGGATCTGTTACATGAGTGAAAAAATGCTTTTAGATGCCAGAACAGGCATGAGGACATTAGGATTACAGCTGCTCTCTTCTGCTGTCTCAAGGTGGCAGTGTAAATGTTGTGCTATACCTGTCTGTGACAGAAACATTCTTAAACATTTTGCAGGCTTTCAAAAGCTACTCAGAGATGTGAGATAAGCTTGCAGTTTTGTGATATGTCCTACTAATTTTCAAAGTATCCTGGAATGAGTCCACTAGGCCCAGTTAAATTGAAAATATTTAGACTACCTAAGTGCAGTGTAACCTGTTTTTTACCTGTAACAGACTGAACTTGAACAGCTTACTCACTCAGGCTAAATGTGCCAGCCATCTGCTCACTCTCCACCTTTTTACTGATACAACAGAGGCATTAAACACTTATTTTTCTTACAGCATCATCAGTTGAGAGAGCTCTGTTCTTTTACTAAAACTGGAAAAGCATAAACTTCAGTAAAGTATATACTTGGCTTGCTGATTGACATACTCAAGACTCATAAAATAAATGAGGTGATGTGTATACTCCCAAGAGAAGCAGATTTAGTTTTCACCTGTCTGAAACAGTAATTTGTCCTGGTGGTTCCTTCCTATTTCGGACAGGACTTTCAGTGCAGCTTTGATCTCTGATTGGCTTTGATCCTGCTTGTGATGAAGCTTTTCTTTATTGACTCTTTTCATGAAAAGTCCCAGTTCTGTTAAAAGGGATTATGTTTTCCCCCTTATATTTTCTTCTTTCCTTTCTCAGCTGCTTTTGTTCAGAAATCACCTTTAGGAAGTTCTCAGCTTGTCTCTGGAGGAAATGCTGTTTCAATGGCATTGTATTTGTTTGTCTGGGCTTGGAATCAGACTTTCTGCATTTGGAGGCTGCTCACCTCATCTAGCTTGAAGAGTTTGTTGTTGTTTTTTGTTTGTTTTGTTTTTGTTTTTCTTCTTTTTATTTTTTCCCAGTACATTTTTTTTCTGGGGTATGAGTGTGAACACAGAATTGTCAGTAATATCTACAAATCTGTGATTATTCAGTGTCTTTCCATACAGTGTGACTATGTCATTGTGATCCATGCTTCCAGTATCCCTGCACCTCCTGCACCTCCTAAATTCCCAGTGACTCACTTGCAGTCCTCTCAGCCCTTACCTTTGTTGACTCTCTGATATTCATAAGCTAAGTAACATCATTCACTTGTTCAGATTCTCTTGTTTTTAAACAAATAGAAGGAGCAATTGTATTTTAATGTGGTATTTGCTTCAGCCCAGTAGTATCTACTTGAATATTAGCTTACAGTTCAGTCTTTGAGCCATATGTCCTTCAAGGCTCCAAAATGTATAATTTAATGGGATTTAATAGCAAATGAACCTTTATTGTAGCTTTCTCTTTTAGTAATATGGTGGTATTAGATTTGAAGAATGCTCTTCTGTGGTGCAAGATTTTGGATTTTTCTCCTTACTTTCTTAATTTGCAGTAGGTGAATATGGCTTGAATATCACTTCTAACTCTCATGGGTTATATTTTATGTTGCTGAAATAAGGACTTTGCAGATCTGCTTTAATGCAAAGTAAGCAGTTTGTTTAAACTCAGTTTCAGTGGTAAAGTGATAAAGAACCTCTGTTCCCTTCACCCACCACTCGTTATAAAGCTTTCAGGCTTTAAGCCACTATTTTGCCTTTGTTGAGTCAAAATTTGTCAACAGGTCAGTGGTGAAGGGCACATAAAGAACATATGATCCTTAGAAAATCAGGTTGAAAAGTAGGGACTCAGTGAAACCCCCAAGTCCTCTTACCTGATAAATAAGCTGCAGAATTTGCAGAAATGTTTCTAAAATTACAACCCAGTAATTAGTTCAGGCCATTAGTGCAAGTGTACATTCTGATATTTGTTCATGCAAGCAGCCAGCTCAGGATCCTGCCAACACGTTTGATGTGGTGTAACCCATTCTGTATGCACAGGTGCAGCATTTTCACAGCATGTGATTGTCTGAAAGCTGCTGTCATTCTGCAGCTCTGAATGGATGCTGCTTTATAGTTGTCACTGCTGTGTAAAAAACACCTTCAGTTAACTGAGAGTACAATAATAAATGAGAAAACAAAATTGTAGTTTCCTGTACAGTCAATTATATGCTGTTAAGACATTTTCATAGTGTTATTTTTGTCGTATTTATTTACACTCTAGATTTATAAGTCCTTACATGTTCTCCCACGCCAGAATGTCACTTTTATGTTGACTTTTTTCCCTTTTTTCTTTTTTTTTGTTGCTATTTTCAGGTCTGCTATTAAAGCACTGCGTCCTGGTGGATCCTTGGTGTATTCTACGTGCACTCTCTCAAAGGCAGAAAACAGTGATGTGATAAACCTCATCCTAAACTCCTGCAGCAATGTTATGCCTGTGGATATAAGTGAAATGGGCAGAGCTGTTTCTCAGGAATTCACTTTTCTTGATGGCTTGCAGCAGCATGAACTTCTGGTGCTTCCAGAGAGAGGGAGAGCGTGGGGTCCAATGTACGTGGCTAAATTAAAGAAAATCTAGTCCACCTGGTGCCTGTTAGCTCTTTGTAAGGAATATATGATAAATTAATATTGATTTAGAGTATAGGATGTGTATATGAACATGTTCAAGGCAACTGAATTTAGAGCTGCCTAATAAACATGTTCAAGGCAACTGAATTTAGAGCTGCCTAATAAAAAAGAAGCTAGATATTTAACTTATTTTGGCTTAAAATACTCAATGTGTCTTCTAATTTGGACTTGTGGGCCTCTGTGAAATCCTTGTGAAGTCAAGGGAGCTTTGTATTATTTTCAAGGGAATTTTATTCTAGAATAGGGCCCAATGTGGTGGAGTTTCCTGTGGGAGGCGGGTCTGAGGGGCACAGAGGATGTGCCCAGGTACAGAGCCCAAGGAGCATGCCCCAGAGTTAGTGAACTGGTTGGTTAAGAAAGTCACCTGATATGTAAGGATAAAAGGGCGTGTGAGTTTGAATAAATCCTCTTTGTCTCACCATCCACGAGGAGCATCATTCATTCCTTGTTATACAAGGGCCTAACCGCTACATATGGCGATCCGAAAGGGACAAATTTAGCTTATATTAAGCAGATATTTAGCCTGGATCAGGCATACAAGTGGTAGTTTCCGGTTATCAGGTCTATTAGTTTGACTTGGGAATCTTTAACCACAAAAAACCCTGACGTCAATAACCCGTGGTCTTAGTGGCATCTAAGAGACGGATGGTTAGTTTAGCGAGCTCGAAAAATATTAGGTAGTGCACGGAAGAAGAGAAGAAAGAGTTAAGGAAGAAGCCGAGAGGTCAGAGCAGGCAACTGGAGAGAGACGAGAGGGTCAACGCAACATCAAAGCGGGGAGTCTGACTGGGAGACTGCTCCCTGGGCGAGACGTGCCTGCAGCTCGGAGACCCGAGCCGCGGAGCACCTTAGGATCGTCAGGGAAAAGCCTGTTGGTCCCCCGAATGTCGGTCATCTGGTAAAAGCGGCATGCCGCTGCCGACGGGTTGGTTAAGAAAGTCACATGATATGTAAGGATAAAAGGGCGCGCGAGTTTGAAATAAACCTCTTTGTCTCACCATCCACGAGGAGCATCATTCATTCCTTGTTATACAAGGGCCTAACCGCAACACACAGACAAAATCAAGGGGCTCTTGGACCTGTGCAGGCTCCGAGCAGTTTTCAGCCTTCCTTAGCAGGGC